GGGAGAGCCACACCCCACGCACGTTAAAGAACCCACCGCACTAATCGAAAAGAGTAGGGGACCTTCCCAGTGTGAGTGGTTCAAACCTTACAGTCTGGTCTCAGGTTTGACATCTTGAAGAGGTGATAGTCACCTGCTATGTCAATCCTTCCACAAATGTGGTAAATCTTCATTAAAAAAATCTCTCGCCGGTCCGCCAGGTATGAGGCCGTGTGTGCCTACCGGACCCCTCCTGGTAACCCTTCGGGAGCAGGTCGACCCCACCCCGAGAAGTCACTGTACCTTTTTACGGTCCACTTTTCCCCGGGACGATAAAGATATCAGGAAAGCTTTGACTACTTTAACAGATGCCAGAGGAATGTCAGATAATTCATGTGAAGGAGGAAGACTATCTTTGTTTGTGATAAGCACATTTCGGCCACATTCACCTTCAAATGTGTAGCAATTACTAGCTAAAACTTCACGTACGCGTATAGAATGTAATCTTTATGTATTAAAAGAAATACATGTAGGCTTTACATACTACAAAATTGGGAGCTTGTACAAAACGCTGTCACACGATGAAAACGACAAAAGCTTCACCCCCGACAAAGTCCCTTTAGGGCTTTCTCTCCCCTCTTGCCCTCCAAGCGACAAAAACACAATTACAACCCAGTAGTGCAGAAAACTCACCCTCCATTCAAACCTACTCATTCCCCATGCACGACGTGTTCTACCGAAGGTTCACCACACAACGAGATGTCTGAGATTTAAAGTTCCCACTCGTAATGCCACTTTTATCCTCAGTCGCCCCCTTTTTCCTGAAGCGCTTGCGAGGTTCAATCCTATTATCGAGAGTAATTTTCCAAGTCCGAGACAGTCTTTCACTGTTTAAATCCAACTCGGATATACGGGTAAGCAACCGTAAGCACACACAAAGACAAGATACTATCAGGGCGCGAGGTGGCCTGTCCTCGCCTAAAGCAAGCAAAACAGCCCAGTGTGTGCCGAGATGCGTACTGTAGAAAGGGAAATATTTGGGGTCAAGGATTTAGACCAACACTTGGGTGTTTACAGGAAACCTCGATGGGGTTTTGATGGAAATCTATCGGCTTTTAATCAACTTGTTCCTTTGCTTTGAACAAAATCTTTTCGCACGTAGTTTATTTTACCGGCTAGTTGAGTGTGAAGCTATTCACAGCTAATTTGGGCATTCAGGTTGTTGATCCAAGCTATTAATGAGGAAAAATCGCTTGTTTACGTCCCATTACTAAAACCCTCACAAACCTTAATGATCTTAATTATTACGCTATGCATTTCCCGTTTTGGTTATGAGAAATCTAACCACAAACAACTTTATATGATTTATGATATCTAATATGTAGACCTAGTCTCCACCAGACGTCTTTTGCAGGCTGAATAAATCGTAGAAATCGGCTTAAATGGCGAGAGAAGGTAGCCGGCCATCGACGATCAAACAGGCCAATTTTATCGTCGATGGCCGGCTACCTTCTCTCGCCGATTTCTACGATTTATTCAGCCTGCAAAAGAAGTCTGGTGGAGACCCCGGTTAGGCGATCTTGTGGTTACGATGCGGGCGGCCTTACACCATTCTGATCTGTTCACCTTTGCGTAGCCGCAAGCTATAATATCTTGGCAACCGGTGTGTTTCCTTCTGTCACCTATTAAAGAAGCACACACACACACACTGGCATATTCTTAAGAGCTGATACTATCTTTAAGACTTTCCCCTCGAGCCCATTTCGCGAAACATGTTGCCGTTTTAGCTGTAGAATGTGGTGTCACAAACACTCGGTTTCCTGTGGCTGTCGTTTAGTCATGCTCTGTAATTTGGAGAAGAACAAGCTTGTCTGCGAGTTAGGAAACCCGTGATTATGACTCAGTCATGAGTAGATAAGTCTAGACTGGTCCGAGAAAAATACTACTAGTACTAGTCTCCACCAGACTCCTTTTGCAGGCTGAATAAATCGTAGAAATCGGCCTAAAAAGGGGATCGTACTAGTAATTGGCCGGAAAACTCCTCTGGCCAATTATATCCCCTTTTTAGTCCCATTTCTACGATTTATTCAGCCTGAAAAAGGAGTCTGATGGAGACTACAAAAATGCCAGCATCCTGAAACGTTGCGTTTTTTTGTAGGTTGTGGGGAAACAGAAGCAAATTGTTCTCTGCGGGGGTTTGGTGTAGCTTTTCTGTGCGTCTTTCAGCCGGCGGTAAACCGAACCATACGCACCGGTCGCTCCAAATGACACGTTCTTAACCACAGAGAAACGTAAGCTGGCATATGGACGGGGAGGGTCCCAAATACTACTCTCCAAGCAGAGGTTGGTGGAGAGAAGCTTTCTATTATACATTTACCGTTTTCCACCGCTACTCTCCACCAGTGACATGAAATGGGGGCATATGATAGAAACTTTATTCGCAAAATCATGCCCGAAGGCTAATTGCTTTAACAATCAAGTATAATACTCAGGAAAAGATAGAAAGGCCATAATCTTCTCAACCAAAACCCCTGATTGAAGACTGCCAATATATTAATCTCCAAGCAGATCTTTCGGTGGCCGCAAAAGAGAGCATCAAATTGGCTCAAATTGGCCAGGCAGTATCCATTAGCCAGACAGTATCAATTGCCACTCCTCTGGCCAAATCAATGGATACTGCCTGGCCACCGTATGATCTGCTTGGAGATTACCAAGGACATTGCCTTGCGGTGAGATTACCAAAATACCTCTTCCAACGCCTCCAGAGTTGTACCATAATACTCCACCACCGGAAGATATAAATTAAACTGAAATGAATTTTCCCCCGATCCACACACATAGCTCTACTTAGAAAATGCCGACCTGTCAGCACGTGGAGTATATACCAGCTAACAGATACACAGATAATCCAATGAAGATGTTTACAGCGTACAGATGACCATATGGGGTGCGGATACGAAAATATCGCTTGTGAGGGTCTCTGAACTTCCATGGAGCTTCTCGGTAGGAAGCTAGCGTCCGAAGCAAGCCTCCGTAGAACTTATAGAACTTATAGAACTGGGGGTTTGGTGGTCTTCGGCTGTTTTCTGATTAGCCTCCGTAGCAGGCTTATAGAACTGGGGGTTTGGTGGTCTTCGGCTGTTTTCTGATTAGCCTCCGTAGCAGGCTTATAGAACTGGGGGTTCGGTGGTCTTCGGCTGTTTTCTGATTAGCCCAGTTCTAACGGGGGTAATTCAACCAGGCCGGCTATGTTGTCTATATGCAATCAGAAAGTATATAACAAATAAAAGCTCCCAAAGACCCTGAAGACCCCCAAACCCCCCAGTTTTTGGCATAACGGAGGCTACATATGTGGTGCCGATACGAAAATATCACCAAGCTAGGGTCTCTGAACCTCACCATAGGAGTCCTATACGCAGGGGGTGTTGTAGATATGGCACGCAGATACGGACAGTCTGGCAAAACAATTTCACGATTTGCATCATTTCTTTCCACCGTCCCGTGTCTGTCTGGGCATGGGAGCTCGATAATAACCAAGCAGATGTTAGGGGGTGAAACAATTTTCAAGTGACTGCCAGGCTTTTTCTATGAGTTGAAAACACAGGTTCAAAACAGTAAATGTAGCCAAATACTGTATATAGCCAAGATGTAGTAAATGTACCAAATGTAGCCAAGTACTATATATATATATATGTAGCCAATATGTAGCAAATGTACCATATGATAGGGATAGAGTTCATTTGCCTCCGTAGCTATGAAATCCTAATAGAAGACCCACTTCCCTGGCCAGTCAGGCCTTATTTTTACCGAATTCTGCCATCCCAACCCCCTCAGTCAGGAAGGCCTAATCTCCAAGCAGATCTTTAGGTGGGGGTAAGACAGTATCAAATTGGCCAGTCTGTATGGATACAACCTGGCCAATTTAATACATTATAACCCCACCAAAAGATCTGCTTGCCTAGTAGATGCTTGTCAGACAAGCCGACAGACAGAAAACGTTACGATCTATCACTCCAACATCTACTTGATAGTTCACGTTTTACACGTATCCAAAATTAGCCCGGAAGAGTGTAAATAGAAGAGACACAAAGTTTACAAGCCCGTCTGTTCCTATTATACGATTAACCCAGGCAAACCTGCAGCCAGAGACTGCCAAAACCAATAATTCTTCTCCTTATGAGACCTCAGAGCCTGTGTGCTGCATTCTACAAAGGTAAAATCATTGTAAATAAAGCGAGCCTGAGGGAAGCTTTGGTGTAAAACTGCTGTATCTAACACAAGAGGCGTTTATGGGTTCTTCATTAGCGTATAAAGACCTATACTTAAGAGCGTTGCGATGGTTATAAAACCGGTAGCACAATGTGCTGTCGCCGCTGGCGACTTTTGATGACAGACGTGTTTTTCAGGAGTGAAGATAGCCTCTACTAGGCTTGGGGAGGCGGCTAGAAGAGTAAATATTGGGTAAATAGAGAGATAACATGCCAGGGGAGCTGTTGGTCTGCTAGAGAGTTAAACACAGTTCGGGTGCGGTAAACTGTACTCTCTTGCTGACCAACTCCACTGGGATGTTATCTGTCTATTTGGACAGTTTCTACTCTTTTCCAACCGCCTCCCGAAGCCTGGTAGAGGCTAGAGGGAAGAGAGCTTCTCTCTCTGCGGTAGTTTGCATCGGGGTCGCCCGGATTCGTTCCGGGGATCACTCATGGAAATCAGCCGTGTCTGTACAAAACGTCGGCTCGCTTTAAAAAGCTTCCCCCCGCTTCGGGTACCAAATCCCCTTACGCATATGTGACTATAAAGGTTCTTCGGAATTATGCGGAGTTTGCATAATACTACTAGTCTCCACCAGACTCCTTTTGCAGGCTGAATAAGTAAATCGTCGAAATCGGTCTAAAAAGGGTATTAATAGGCCAGAGAAGGTAGCCGGCCATCGAGGATCCAATTGACCCATTTTAGACCGATTTCTACGATTTATTCAGCCCGCAAAAGGAGTCTGGTGGAGACTAGGGAATCTCACTTACCGAGCTCCAAAATCCTCTTTTGACGACACTTTTCACCACTTCATTATTCCGCGTATCTCGTCTCTCCTGCGAAACAAAGAAAAAGAAGAAGGGGTGATATTCGTGCTAATTACCTCTGACAGAAACTAGGGGATTATGCAGGCATTTCGCTAAACGGGAACTCAATCTCTAACGTCTCACCGGAGAACGTAACACCAAGCGCGTGGACCCGCGAGCGACGGACGGTAGCAGAGCATGCCTTCCCCCGAAGGCCCTTCCGTAACGCTGCGCTCCTGTCACATAACTTAAATGTTCCAATTTCTCAGTGTCACACCACCGATTCCTGACAGCGACCCTACGTTAGCACTCCTTAGCGTACTACGGTTTCTCTCAGATTCTTTTGTAGGATTTTCTGGACTTTTTTTAGGGGATAATATCTTGTCAAGGGGTGTTGACACAGGGGACGCCCGGTCGTGTCACGTCGGCCGCAACACGCGAACAAGCCCGGGGGGACATCTCCTTTTTCGGGCCTTCCTGTCCGCGCGGCGACACCAGAGTTCAAACCCAGCCCTACCGGATCGAAATAAATACTGTACAGTACGCTCCCGCTTCAACCGACCCCGGGTGCACCATTGTTACTCCATGCTGTGCTATTTTTCTCTGCCTTCGTCCGTCCAACAAAAAGGATTCTACACATGGGAAGCGCTGCTGCATACTTTAGTATATAAACCAAGACCAGTTGCTCTAGTTGTAGCCGACTTTTTATCAATAAACATCGCCAAACGCAACATGCCTACCCAGCGCCGCGACGCAGACCATCGACTAAAACAAGCAAGCAATGTTTAAATACGTCTGTGTGTGTTTAAAAAAAAAGAGAATCGAACCCGTGTACCGACGTACCTTGACGCTGAGTCCCATGACGATAGTATCCGTGAGCAGGGCCAGAATTAGGACTGTTGTTATCCAAGTTGGTAAGGAATTCATGGTAGAGCGAAAACGTCAGAAAGATGTGATGCCCATATATACACACAAGTGTACCCTCTCCGTGGCGCGACTCTCCCTAGTCTATGTACACCCGACCTATACTTGACATATGTCTACTACAGCAGCGGTCACGTGACTCCCTACCGTACCTCCCTTTACATTCACGTCGTCAATTTTTCACGGTAGACCGCCTTCAGACTGTAGACAGCACTCAGCTGTTGCTAAAGTATATTCACGATTCTCGCTTTCACAAAATATCCTCTCACGATTACAAACGCAGCTGAGTAGAAAACGATACAACCGAGATAGTACTCAGATATTAATAGGCAACCTTGTAGCAAAAATACTTTTTAAAAAGTGACGCAAAAATGTGAAAATTTACAGTAGTAACCCGGTAGTAAGACGAAGGACGGAGCAGGGCTGTAAGACTCCTACTGAGCATGCTCAAACTAGCCTACACCCCAGGCCATTGCAAGGTCCACATATTAGCCTCTACCAGGCTTCGGGAAGCGGCTGGAAAGAGGAAAGAGTAGAAATCGGCCAAATAGAGAAATAGCATGCCGGGGGAGCGGTAAACTGTTGTCTCCAGCAGACAAACTCCCCTAGCATGCTATCTCGCTATTTGGCCGATTTCTACTCTTTCCAGCCGCCTCCCGAAGCCTGGTAGAGGCTATCCACATATACGTTACGTATTGCCTAATATAATACCTACTATAACAGGTACCCCACTACCCCCTATACAGACTTCTCTAAACACAGAATGAATGAGAAAAGAACAGTTAAAACAATGACTGAGTATTGTAAGTAGGGGTGGTCCACAAATGATGACTAATTCAAATCTTACTGAACAAACTTTGTTTAACATATTCATGACACGATCTGCAAGTGAGACCTAACCGACGAGCAACTAGAGACTCATCCAAAACAATAACAACGATAAAGAATTGTGTCAATAGTTAATTTGATACCAACACTTTCTGGTGTTTTAATCCTGAAATCCAGTTAGAAGGTTGTTCTAGGATCGTGACACAGACAATGAGGCTTGTATGAGAGCCGTGCGGGACCGAAGCAATCCTTTTATAGGTTGATGAATATGAAAATATGATAAAGAAATTGTCTGAGGCGCCAATTTTTGCCTGTCGTCTGATTTTGTGATCGATGAAGGCTGGCGTTTGGGTCATAGTATCATCGGGAAAAATTCTCACGGTTATTTCCTATTTTTTTTTTGACTGATACACACATCATATTTTTTCCGTTACCATCTTGAATCCCGCCCCCTTCCCCAAATAAAGTTCGCTAATTGCACGGCTGTGTGTGTAATAATTAGAAAAGTATAAAGTGAATCTGTCGTTCTTAATTTCTGATTATTCAACACACCAATTGGCAAATAGAATTTTAAGTAGTTTTACTGGTATAAAAGCCGCTCAGACAGTAGAACGTTATACTGAATTATGAAATGAAGTTTGTCAGAGAAGGCACAGTCATGCCCCCCCTCTTAGAGTGATGATGGTTCTGTCAGTACTAAAATACTAGAATACTGCCGTCTGAAATTTTATCGGACGACATTTGACTCTTCTACTAGAACCTGACACACCCGCTCGTCACCTTGGGAATCTACATAATACCATTGAGTCCGCCCCCCCCCTCCCTCTGAGCAAATTCATTATTTATCAGACGATCAGACGACAATGTTGCACTTTGGTTCTAATCGGGCCGATTGTAGAATTTCCCACAAGAAAAGTAGAGGCTCGTTTTCTTTTGTGTTGGCGGGAAATTCTTTGTCGTCGTGTGTGAAAAAGTGATTCATCTTCTTGTATTTCCTCAGACGGCGCGGGAAGGGGCTACGTCATAATCAGACGGCTTTTTTTTTCTGCTCCATTGCCCGACACTTCACTTCTACATAGTTATGTAATGGAAATTTATTTTGAAAATATATAATGCTATTACATAGTTTTTTTCCAGCTCTCGAACCTGTTAAACTTGAGCGTGAAAATAACGAAACTTCCTTGTAAATATCCCCATGTATAATGGGTCATTTATTTTGTATTTATATATAATTCTATTGCATAGTTTTTCCAGCTCTCTAACCTGTTGAACTTGATCGTGAAAATAACGTAACTTCTTTGTAAATATCCCCTGTAGTCCTTTTCAATAATGCTAATATAAATTTGTTAGATTTTTGCGAACCGTTTTAAAAGGGCGACCGCCTGCAATCGGCCTGGAATTTCAGGAACGCAACAAGTCGGTCTAAATCAAGTTAGGATTGATTGGAATTGATCCAGTGACCCTGAAAATACATCCATTCATTATTTACAAAAGCAGAGCTTTTTCCAAGGCAACTCCTAAGTGTGTCCTTGTCATGTTAAAACCGATTTAATCTTTTCTAATGTCAAACCCTATTCGGACACAATATAGTCTACACCAGGCTAACAACGCTGGTTCAATATCAGTAAAATTTTAGCCAAATAGGGAGAAAGAATAATCATCAAGGTCAGTTTGGTCACTGTAAATTTATTTTCAATCCCTTCGCGGACTGACTCTCCTGGCGAAATATTTCCCTTTTTTTGCCGAATTCTATTATCTGTATCTGTATAGCCGGTATAACCGCCCTTCGGTGTAACACACCAGCTTCTGTATCTGTATAGCCGGTATAACCGCCCTTCGGCGTAACACACCAGCTTCACAGGCATGCGGCGCAGCGGCAGCTGGCTACATTACACCAAACGACTTGTTACACCTAACCCTTGAATATCTAACTCTGAACATTGTTTAAAGCTATCTAATGATAATGCCCCTACTGTTCCCCCGTAAGAAGTCCTGGTGTAGGTTAACGATATATACTGGTAAGATAAGGCTACACAGTGACTATCATATATTGTTTTTCTAACGTCTACAGCCTCGACGCTCAACTCCAATTGCATGTGTCAACGCCCGTCTTCAAGAAACCATCTGACGTTCATGTCTGTCATCGGGCCCGTCTTACGTTCCAGTTGCAAAAGGTTTCGAGTGACTTATTTTGATATACGATCTCTGTAGATTTTTGCCATAGCGGCCAATCCGGTCTAATTTATAGCCTAGTATAGGATCCGACTGGCAAGGGCTGTTAAGTTGCGGTGTGTTTCCAAGGTTCTGTAATATTAAAGAACCATATTTCTTAGTACTTATGTGTAGTATTAGGTTCTAATTAGATCTATTGTAGATTTATCGGGGTTTGCTACTCAAATGAAAGAGGACATTGGGTTACGTCTTGATATTCAGTAGCCCTCAGCCGGGCCTCAGTGTTGAAGTACGGTATTCCGAGAAAGGGTGTGGAGGAAATGAGAGAGAGAAAGAAAGAAGTAGCCTGAATGCCAGCCTTGTTCAGCTACCAATGCTAGCAAGACTGACATCCAGGATAAGACTGGAGAGAGAAAGATGAAACTAGCCTGGGTGCCAGCCTTGTTAAGCTACCAAAACTTACTAGACTGACATCCAGGCTAAAAGAAGACATTAGACTGAATGCCAGCCTTGTTAGGCTACCACTAGTTACAAGACTGACACCCAGGCTAAAAAGAAGACATTAGACTGGATGCCAGCCTTGTTAGGCTACCACTGAAGACTGGCATCCAGGCTAAAAGAAGACACTAGACTGGGTGCCAGCCTTGTTAGGCTACCAGTGTTAACAAGACTGACATCCAGGCTAAAAGAAGACACTAGACTGGATGCCAGCCTTCTTAGGCTACCACTAATTACAAGACTGACATCCAGGCTAAAAGAAGACACTAGACTGGATGCCAGCATTACAAGACTGACATTCAGGCCAAGATAAAACATTATACATCATGAATTGCATGTTCGCTGGCGTATCTTTTAATAGGAAGATCGGGTTTTTCAATGGACAATGCTTCGTCGCACCTGCCTACAATATGCTAGCGGTTAGCCTGACAAGAAGTTACGCATCTTGGGTTGTACGATGTATAACTCCTTGACAGGCCTACAGTGATGACAAATCTTCCAATCTATTGGATCAATTTCTACTATTATTTTAGCAACCCAAGAAGCCTGGTAGACACTAATTGTGTACATTGAAAGGTTGTGAATGTAATTATATTTACCTGACAAAATGTTTGCTGTCTTAATCGACCTCATTTTGTCAGTCCATATTGTTTTTCTGGGTTATCTCTTCTGTAGTGTTAAGTTTCATCTGGCCTGAAAGGGGGGGGGGTAAGATAGATTGGCCTTATGGAACTAAAGTTATGTACCAGTATTTGCCATACTTTGTACCCTGTACAATTGCTGTGCAGGAAAGTTTATCTTAAGTTCTTTGGTACGCATAATATGAATCTCCCCTATAATTTCCCGCACAGACTTTTGATCTGTTTTCTAATGACATGTCAAATTTGGCTCAAACTTTGGAGGTTCCAAAAGAATAAATGAGGTGTAAAAATGCACCGAAAAGCTCGTTTGATATTTATCTGTCTGGAGCGACGCCTAAGTAGGTATACTGACCCCTGCCCCCCAGGCAAGGCAACCCCTTCATCAATCATTGCTTAGCAACAATAGAACATCAGACGACAGTTTGGCTCAGACCGCCATGACAGTGGCTCGGAGCGTCTTCGTTGGTGGTATCAATAACACGATAAAATACGACTGATTGGACAAGGACGGTGACATCTTGTTGTCTATCACATAAAATTACTGATTTAATTTTCTTTATCCTAATCTAAATACATTCTACAACGGACATTACATTTTGGAGAATAAGTCTTAGCGTTACAACACTGAATAAAGAGCAGGACGGTTTAAATTGTTTTGCCCCGTACACGAGTACATTAATTTCGTGTCAATGAATAAATACAGAGGATTTAATGAGTCCTTGGAATCAACAACATCGGCAGGCCTCCCGTCGTGTGTAACCTTCAGATAACCTTCAAAAGATGTGGGAGGGGGGCGCCGGTATTCTTTTCCATTGAATAATAATAAAGTCCTTGAAAAAGGTTTCGTGAACTACTTCACAAGAGATTTGTTTTAGCCGGGTATCAAACGAGGGCATTTTATGGATTTAAAAAAAAATCACCTCCTAAAAAGGTCATTTATGGTTAGAGTGTAAAAGAAACACTAGCGTCAAGATTT